TGGTCCCGACACCTGGCGAGTATCTTGTTCTGAACACTGGCTGTCCCGCGGTGGCTGTCCAGTGTTCTGGTCCCGACACCTGGCGAGTATCTTGTTCTGAACACTGGCTGTCCCGCGGTGGCTGTCCAGTGTTCTGGTCCCGACACCTGGCGAGTATCTTGTTCTGAACACTGGCTGTCCCGCGGTGGCTGTCCAGTGTTCTGGTCCCGACACCTGGCGAGTATCTTGCTCTGAACACTGGCTGTCTGGCGGTGGCTGTCCAGTGTTCTGGTCGCAAGACCTGGCGTGTGTCGTTTGATTTGATTTTTTCAACAACGTCTCGGCATACACAGGTTGTGAGGTTCTCCTTGCGGTTTTAGATCGGATTGAGGTTCTCCGGGTTGTGACACCGTGTAGTCTTATAGGCGGATCCCGGCGTTTCGAAGGAACATGCTGCCCCCACTTTTAGGGTTGATGTAACGAACACAGTGTTCTCCTGTAAACCTTTCCATTCTTGACCCGGAGCGGGCTCCAGTTCCTTGGGTCTCAGTGACTACCTTCTCTGCTACCTGCCTCTTTACCCGAGCCAATTCCACACCGAAACTTCGGTGTCACCAACAAGACTACACGACTTCAACCCGAAACTCTATGTGCAGTTTACCAATTGTGAAATGGTATGGACGTAAGAGTGACTACCTAACTCTCCACGAAGTAGGGTCCTTCCTTAGAAGCTGACGATCGCTCAGCTAGTCACGAAGTTCCCCGCCTTTGCGGAGCCGTGTTCACAGGAACTGACTGGCGGTCCATGTCCTGAGTCAAGTAAATCCCCCCTCCGCTTTAAGATCTATTTTAATATTCTCCTGTCATGCACGCTTAGTCTTCCGAGCAGTCTCTTCCCTTGAGGCTTTCCGACCAAGGAGCAACAAAGAAGCAGAGAGGAAGGACGAGAAGTTGCAACTTTTGAGGGGGTTGGAGTCAGTGGCTACACTGTGGGGCGTCGAATGGTTGGATGAATGATGAATTGGAAAGGATTTTGAAGGGAGTGTTCGTGGCCTAATTGAGGGACTTTCTGCGTATTTTCATTAGAGACTGAGGAAAGCCACGAGCTGCCTCAGTCAGTATAGCCGATATCGCGGGTCAAGATTCGAATCGAGCATCTCCCGAATACAATTCCAGAGAGTTACCGCCACATTAACCCGCTCTGCGAGTAAAGTCCATTGCAGACATATAAGGGGTCGTTATGGTCCTTGCACATGGGAGGTAAAGCCTGTGGGAGCTTTCCTCTTTGCCTTCCAACGGAGGCACGACAGTGAGAGTCCTGGCCACGCGTATACATACATGAGTAAAGGAACTAGGATTGGATTCGTCTGGCTCAGGATAGGGCCCAGCTCTTGTGAACGCGGTAATGAACCTTACGTGTCCTATTTGAAGCGGATAATTTCTTGGATATCCGAAGTAAATGTCAGCATATCAGAGAGGGCTGTGCTTCTTGTTTCGGTGTGAAAGGCCACGCATTCTACATTTCTTGCTCTATTTTCACTCCATTTTGTCTAAACTGAACTACTGTTTCTGTGAGTTCAATATGAACACTCGTTTTCCAGGAGGAGCATCCATGCACTTTTTAATTTCGTCACTGGATGTACGAGAATTATCTGTTTCACGCTCCTGCCGCCTCTACTCTAAAGAGAAGAGGCTTCGATCCGAATCTTTATTTAAATATAATTTTTTTATTAAAATTAAATGCGTTTTTGGAAAACGATCGTATATCGAGAGTCGTTGAATAAATCACAGATTAGAAAGGGCACACGCGTGCACGAGTAAGGGCTACAATTGTTATTCTTTCAGAAGCACATGTTAATTTGTGTAACTGTTTAAAGGCTGAAATGCGTGTACACAGTTCGTAGCAGAGCAGTTCACATCTCACAAAATAGAACATTTCACAAACACAGCAGTTTCCTGGGAATGTAAAGTTTTTTAAAAAATTGTATAAAATTTCTTGATGCTAATTACAAATTTTTTGTATTGTCAATAATTAAAATTCGTAAACCATGCAGGCTCGTGTTCGTCCTCCCATCGTCCCTCTTGTATGGGGCAGATATTGTGCCACCTGGCTATCTTGATGTGGAGCTTCTTTATATCGTCCAGGGTTTGCTCGTGGCTGCTGTGCTGTTTTCACTGTTCACTGTTCACTGTAGTTACCTGTCTCAGCTTGTTACCCCTTTAGTTATTTTTTTCACTGGGTCAGAGTGACTGTATATTTTGCTTTACTGTACTTTCCGACATTATTCCATAAGGACTGCTTGCTCATAAACGTGGTAGTTGTCGATATGTCCAGGTCACTTGAGCTGCTTTCGCAGTTACTTCAGAAACAGCCATGTATTCACATTTCTGGTGTCCACTTATCGTCATTTGTTATTTTGTCAGGCGTACCTCAGGGGTCAGTCTTGAAGTCATTGCATTTTAATATTTTTATCAATGATTTGTGTGATGTAATTAATCACTTTGTCTTTTTTGCTTTGCTGATGACCTTAGAGCCGATTGAGATATCACGGTCCACGTTGATTGTGTACGTGACTGTTGTTCGGCTAGTTATATGAAGCTCAGCGTTGGTAAAAGCAGAGTTATGTCTTGCAAAATCACTCGTACCAGTGTACACTTGCAAAGCTTTGTACACGTATATTGCGACCCATTTACGGACTGAGTCACTGCCAGTCCTTATTGCTGCTAAGCCCCTTGAGGCTCACGACAGAGTTTTTTTTAACTGAACCCCTGCGATCATAGTCCTTACGTAACAACCTCTCTGACTAGAGGATGGGTTTGTCTCTTACGAACTGAATTTCTTCTTAATCATATATATATTTTTTATTTAACTCCAGTAATTATACAATCTATCCATTAAGTGTGGATAATAAATAAGTACATTTTGTGGTTAATTTACATATAGCAAAAGGAAAGAGAGTACTTGATGTGGTGAGCATATTCCAAGGAACATAATCATATATAAGAATCTAATTCGTACCCCAAAGGAAACACATTACGTCTCCGCTACAAAGCCCAACCGGTTAGTGCTGCTTAGGGAAAGAGTCGCTGTTTATTGTGAGGACCATACGGAACACATCAATACACTGTGTGGGCAGAATGCGGAGTTTTGTTACTTTAAAGCAGGTGGTACATATAGTAACCACCGGGCTTTAAAGGGTGTAGGATTTGAGTCTACGCACTGACTGTGAACTTAATTTTCATCAGAATGTTGAATGCACTTGGCGAACATGTCATTAAATTGCTAGAGTTTCCTTTTCCGCCGTAGACAGGCTTGCTGATGTTCTGTTCTGCTGTGGTCTGAACGATTACCGACCCCAGTAAACGTGAGCGCATACAAAGGCAATCTGCAGCCTTTTGCCACGACAGATTTTCTCAGAGTCTCCAGTATCACGGTAATTAGGACACCTCAGTTTACAGACGCTTCACCGCAGGGGTCCACACCTGCTTTCTTTCTAACAAATGTTTATTGTGGCGCTGAGTGTTGCATTCAAATATACAGCGAATTTCCTTTTGTGAGCTCGGACTGAGGAGCAAGAGTCAGACGCTCCTCCCATGAAGTCGGGCCGACCCACGCCTGCGCTGTCTAGAGCGTTGGGTCCCAATCCATGGGCCGCCATGCCGTAGTAGGTGCTTCCCAGTGTTAATTTATAATTTGACGTAAATGTTTTAATTTTGATGTGCAGTTCATCGCTAATTTTATTTCTTGATATATTATTAAGAAAACTCTGTTCAGACTTTATATTTAATTGTGTGATTTTTACATATGCTCAGCTGAAGGAAAAGTCAAGGCCCCATATTTCTAAATAATATTTCCTTTGGGAAATTTTCAAGGATAATCGATTTATCGTATTCCTGGCATAAAACCTCAAGAATAAACCTGTAAAAATAATCAGTGTAAGATAAACTCTTCATTCGTATTTTCACAGAATATTTCACCAATATGCGATGAAAATGGCGTGCTCACTGTCACGGACGCCATGATCCCTGGTGAGGTACTTCTGCGCACTCTCTACGCGCACGTTCACACTACACATTGTCCATGTATTTGCTTCGTGGTTACCGTCGTGAGGGAGTTAAACGTGCATACTGTTTGACACCAGAGGTTTATTTTGTACGCTTAAAATATTTATCCATTACGAATAAGCAGTACAATGAGCAAACAAGCAGATATTCCAGTTTTTAGAGCCGAAACCTGACAGTGGTCACTCATCTACCAATAATCAAGATGGAACTGAAGCTTCAACCTCGAACTAACACGAAAAAATGAAATAAAATCCAAGAAAACGCCTAAACGTAGGTACAGTTATGCTCATATAAAATGCGAGTTCTGTCTTCTGGGATATAACGCCGTTTAGTCCGTTTGAAAATCAACCATCGTTTCGGAGGAGCAAGTCTCTTCCGTTTTTTAGGGTCGGAGAGTAACAGAAGGAAGAAACCAGCGTGAAGCAGGGGACACAGGAACAGTAGGAACACGAGGCTCCGTGGAGGCCTAATTCCGCGCGCGACCGCCGGTACGTGTGGTTGGCGTGGTGATTAACTCGTAGGTTGCCGTTTTCCAAATAAAGCTGTGTGCCGGTTTCTGAGCGATGTGACATCACCTCCGCGCCTTGAAGGGTGCTGTGACCTTCCAAATGCACCTGGCCTAATGCCGCCATTTGGAATAAGGTGAAGGACTGTAATAGACTGTGAATCAGTGTGCTGTAATGTTCGCAGTATGCAGGCTGTACATATGTGTATGTAACCTTTTGCAACAGTATTTTATAAAGGTTTACAAATATACCCGTTCGGAACGCAAATGTGACTGGAGTGATTCGGGATAATGACGGCCTCGATTTCACGCATGGAAAGACCTTTCTCTAAATGACGCGTCATGTCTCGAGTAGCAAAGCGACTGTCAGCTTTTGCAAAAGTGGTGTGCCCCATGCTACGAATACAGCGGTAGGTGAGAAGGTGTGACGAGTGTTGGTTGGCTGTTTCAGGTCCCGCAAGCGGCGGCCCAGCTCCTCGCAGGAAGACTTCATGGACGAGTGCACGGCGGCTCTAGTGCTCATGAGTCTGTCCTGCAGCCCACATTCGCCCCACTTGAACGGTGAGTCCGTCGTCTGGTACCTCACTGTTAGATTGTGAGGCAGAATTCTTCAGCAGTGAAAATACTGAAGTCAAAGCATGGACCTTATCTGACAACCCTGACTGAATTTCTTCTAAATAATATATTATAATTCAGTTCGTACCGCACAGGAAACACATCACGTCTCCACCACAGAGCCCAGCCGGTTAATGCTGTCCACGGTCCAGCAAAGGGATGTAGAGCCATTGATAAATGATTGAATTACATGGGTTGTTTGCTGAAAGTTTTATCATAAAGTTATGTGTGCATCAGCTCATATTTTTCCTTTAAGTTGTACCTTACGAAATGTGTTTAATATTTTACAGATATTGTGATGTTATATTTGTGGAGTCATACGTTCCATTAGGAATTCGTTTTGTAAAAATATGCAGTTTGTATAAGTTTTTCATGTTATTGTCAATGCATTTTAATTGTGCGTGGTGTATAGAAGATTTCACTAGTTTCTTCTTCTAGTGAAATGCTACATTTGGAGCATAGCTCTGTATGGGGCTGAAACATGGACACTTAGGGCAGTAGATCAGAAACATCTGGAAAGTTTCGAAATGTGGTGTTGGAGAAGAATGGAGAAGATCAGTTGGACCGATTATGTGAGAAATGAAGAAGTGTTAATTAGAGTCAGTGAGCAGAGGAATATCCTACATGAAATAAGAAAACGGAAGGCTAATTGGATTGGTCATGTTTTACGCAGAAACTGCCTTCTAAAAGAAGCTATCGAAGGAAAGATAGATGGGCGGATAGAAGTGACAAGAAGACGAGGAAGAAGACGTAAGAAGATGCTGGATGACCTTGGGGACAGAAGAGGATACTGTCATTTGAAGGAGAAAGCTCTAGATCGCATTAAGTGGAGGAATTGTTTTGAAAGAGACTGTGGACCTGTCGTCTTGACAGATTACTGATGATGATGATGATGATGATGTATAGAAGATACGCGGATGAGAGAACACATACACGTATAACGTATACTTTGCTCATTTTGTGTAGCGAGCATCGTGTTGCCCGAATACGCGCCAAATTTTATCGAAGTTGCTCGCACGCAGGAAAAGGTTATGCAGGTTGGGTACTACAGAGTGTTACGTAATCATTACAGAGTTGATAGATTTTATTTTCAACGTACAACTGGAACCACGCGGGCTTTTACTCCCGTCAGGTTGCCTACTTGATGTATGACGCAGCCTCAGAGATGTTTTACACAGACTGTAGTCGCGCCCAAGTCCCTTAGAGACGGTTCGACCCAGGGATGACAAAGTGTGCTCTCTCTTCATCGCTACTAGTGGTTCAGAATCCCTGTAAGACCCAACTGACAGGCGCAGTTTAAATGCCAAAAGGAGACCAGATCTGCCTATATGAAGAAGTGCATATGGCGTGTACGAGTATATATAAAGAAGACGTTTCACGGTTGATTATTTATGTATACTATTAATGGGATATGATGTTAAACGTCGTCCTCGACGTACCAGTCGATAACATGTGGAATGCCGGTGAGACCAAGGGATAGCTTACGTAACGAACTATGATGCTTCCCGCGGAACTCTCAGCGAGTGTCACACTGAACTGTCCTATTCCTCAGCTGACACGAAAAGCCTTCAGGTCTCCTGTAGTTCAGAATTAACTCTGAAACAGAGAGTTGTGCAGACATTCTGTAGAAACTTCGACAGTGGACAGCACGGCTGGAACGCGGATATACTAGCGGGATTCGAACACATGGTCCGAGTGTTGGAGGGTGCCTCGGGCCGCGTGGCCACTGTAGCCGGTTGCTATCGAATACACTAGGATCGTAATTATGCTGCATGACATTAGGATAACACAGTGCGCCGTTAGGGCGATGCTCAAGCACGTTCTCGAGGGCACGCTGTTAGCACCCACATCATTACAGCATTAGCATTCCGGTTGAGATTTCAGCGCAGCCACTGTCAACACGCTGCCTATGCAAGGTCCCTTTATTTAGCGTAAGGCCTTTTAAGGTTCCGGATCCTTACGAAACACATGTTCAAGGTCCAGTTACAATCACGCAATTCTTCATTACGAAACTGAACTGACAGCGGTTGTCAGTTCGAGTGAAAGTTACCGCTGCCCGTTCTGAGTTGACGGTGAAGGTGGTTAGCTTCATAATTCGCAGTTTCTGGTAAGGCAACAAGAACTGCAACAAGAAAAAAAAAGGCCCAAATTTCGTAACTTGTTTTTTTCACGCTTCCAGTGTCAGGCCAGGTAAAAAACAAACCTGTCCCTGTTTACCTATACGGACTTCACTATAAGTTTCGTTTAGACATATTTCAATCAACGTAAATACTTGTAGTCCCATGGTTACCCCAAACTCTCCGAGAATATTTTACAAGACGTACTGTCTCATTGTACTCCCAGTAATTTCATCTATGTATGGACTTAACCTTGAGAGAATATTGGATAAAATTTTGTATGAAGTTCATAGCAGTGATATCCCCCGATAATTACTACAGTCAGTTTTATCACCTTTCTTGTGAACTGGTACAATAATAGACTCATTTCACTTATCAGACAATTCTTCCTTATTTCGAATAAAATTAATTAGCTTATGGATCATTCACTCATGTAGCTGAACTCTTCTTAAGAAGCCGCCAATTGTGCGACTACTCAAGAACTTGCCAGCATTTTATGGAACCCGAAGGTTCATTACTATGTTCACAGGAGCTCTCCACTGGTCCCTAACCGGAGCCATATCAATCCAATCAACCCCATCCCATCTAAGATCCATTTTAATATTGTCCACCCACCCACCCACGTCTTGGTCTTCCTAGTGGTCTCTTTCCTTCTGGCTTTCCAACCAATAGCCTATATGCATTCCTCTTCTCCCCAATTCGTGCTATATGCCCTTCCCAACTCATCCTCCTTGACTTGATCATTCTAATTGTACTTGGAGAAGAGTGCAAGTTATGAAGCTCCTCATTATGCTGTTTTCTCCAACCTCCTGTCGTTTCATCTCTCTTCGGTCCAAATATTCTCCTCAACACCCTGTTCTCAAACACCCTCAGTCTGTGTTCCTCCCTTAATGTCAGAGACCAAGTTTCACACGCAATCAGAATCACAAATAAAATTACAGTTTTGTAAATTCTAATTTTTATGTTTTTGGACAGCAGACGAGAATACAAAAGGTTCTGGACTGAACGGTAGCAAGCATTACCCGAGTTCAGTCTCCTCTTAATTTCCTCCTCAATCAAATTTGGTTTCTTATTGTCATTCCCGAATATCTGAACTGTGCCACATTTTCAAAACATCTGTTACCTGTCTTTATATTATGAGTTTGTCCTGCATTTTCTCTGTGTTTAGTTCTAGACCAACCTCTTTACTTGGTGTCAATTAAAGTTTGTGTGTTTTTCTTTATGGTATCTACATTATCACCCAGTAGATTCACATCATCAGAATAGATCAACAGATGATGTGCCCCATTTAATTTGCTTTCCAACCGGTTTCTTTGACCTTTCTAATGGCATGTTCTGAAACAAATTTGAAAAGGAGTGGCGATAAAGCATCTTGTTTTAGACCATTCCGGATAAGAAAATTATCAGACAAATGTTTACCTAAACGGACTTTACTGTACGTTTCGTAAACACATTTTAATCAACCTAACTACGAGCAGTTCCATGGGTACCCCAAACTGTATGATAATTTGTACAGTACTTCCCTCATAACTGAATCATAGGCTTTCTTGAAGTCTACAAATAGCTGATGTACTGTCTCATTGTACTCCCATTTTTTTCTCTAATATCTGTCGAATGCAAGAGATCTGATTAGTAATTGATCTGTTACGTCGAAGCCAACACTCATGATCCCCAATAATTTCATCAGCTTCTGCATCTTAGGACGTTTTGCAGTAGCAATTTCAACCTCAAAAAGACCTGGGATCAGGTTCTAATGGCTCAGCAGTATATTTCTATCTGCCTAACATCACTGACCCTATGTAAATATGTATTTAGTAACCAAGAAAAGTAGTTCTTCCATCTGTTCGAAATATTGTGGGAATCTGTAAACAGATCAGCATTCTCATCCTTCACTGATTTCTTTCTGTGTAGCTAACCCCTCTTAAAGTCATTTATTATTCTGTACAGGTCTGTAATGTTCTTGTTCTTACTGTTCATTGCAAGCTCATCAATTTTGTCTTTCAGATATTCCCTCTTTTTATTCCCGAAATGCCTGCTGGTTTCACGTTTTTTATTGGTCAGATTATCCCAGTTTATTTCGCTTGGATCCTGTAACCGCTGCAATTTGGCTTTTTTTCTTTGGTCTAATAATTGTGAGCATCCTTCATCGAACCATGGCTTATGCTTCTTCAGTTCATAATAACCTAGACTCTCTTTGACAGACATTTTTATATTCTCTCTAATAATTTCCCGAGTCCTATTAATATCCACTTCAGTGTAGAAGTTTTCCAAGGCCGCGAACCTATTTGAGATTTCAACACGATACTGCTCTTTACCCTCTGCCTCGTTTAATTCTTTGAGATTGAACCTCTCCATATGAACTCTGTGCCAGACTAATCGACAGCAAAATTTAGCAAGTGATGTCTGAATACGGGAAACGGCTGCTGACTGGTGGACGCGATAGGTTAGTGGATTGCAGATACATTTCCAATTGTCTCCAAACGGACCCATGAATCGTGCATGCCAAGTGGTCAGGCAAGTCTGTTATGACTCAGATCGAGGCTCTAAGTAAATGTTGCTTTTGGGGAGTGGTTTTTATGGGCCCAGCTCTCATTCGGTTTGCTTGTTGTATCTGGTGACTACAGGACAGACACTTGTAGTCACTGGTTTCAAGTTGCACAGCCCTCGTCTGAAATGCTGAAATCTGTTCCAATCCTGGTTGAGGTACGTACTGTGAACGCAGACTATTTGGGGGTAAATCTCGCATGTCACTAAAATGAACGTGTGATCCGAAACTGGCCCTGCGGCCGCTTTCCATGTGTCATGTCATCCAGAAGAGGACAATAATGT